CAGTGGCCTACTAATGGGCTTTGGATCTCCACTCCGCACTCCCCCCATCATTCACTATGGTAAGATTTTTTGATCTGATGATGCCTTACACCTGATCCCTTCGACACCTCGTGGTTGCATAGGCTGGTGTGCTTCTTCCATGTGTAGCACAAAATTCTAAAGAGGTCTGAGACAGTACATAGTTGCATGACTATAAAAAAAAGAAACGAGCAACTTTCCCTACTTAATATGAATAAATTACTGCTTGATGATCTATGAAAGGGCCTTCTCTTGGAATCAATATTTCAAGCGCAGCAAGATAAAGGTACTGACATTTGCTTGCCTTCTGAGTGCACAGCTGTGTGCTAGGCACTGAGGATATCAAAATAAATCAGAAGAGTTTCCCGTGTCTATGGTTGCTGAAGGAAAGTTAAGTTTTTCTATATGCCATTTCCTGCCCAGTGGTGGAAGAGTTTCTAATTCCCTCCAGCAAATGGTTAGCCTTTCTCATCCCTTCGCTCTGATCTCAAACATTATCCTGTTCTCCCCAGTTTTCATCTCTGAAATCTCTCACAGCATCTTTTGTAACTATCATTAGTTGTAAGTTTCCCTTAAGTGGTTATTTGGTTAATGTCTAGCTCTCGCACTAGACTATAAAGTCAAAAACTGTCTTGCTCACTATCATAAAGAAAACGCCTAACATAGTACCTGCTATACATATAATATTAGCAAATATCCGCTATGTAATATGTGCATGTTATATTTGTATTACATATAGTAAATTATGCACTTACTATATTATGTTCTAAATATGTACATATTACATATTATTACATAACATATTACATATTATTACAAATATTCATTTCCATTCCTCCCCCTTTGCAGTTCATTCTCTGCAGTTTTTTCAAAAGGTAAATTAGGTTATATAACTCCCCTGCCTGGAATATATCCTTTGGACCTACTCTTGAGTTCTTGTCCACCTCTCTAGTGCCATCTCCTAAAATTCCAGGCTCCCAACTTCATTCAGGCACACAATATTCTGTTTTTTGACCATGCGAAATCTTCTTATACTTCATATCTTTACTCTTGCTGTTCCCTATGTCAGGATTGCTCGTCTGATATTTTTTCCAAATGGCTCTCTTAGCCTCTAAGTCTCAGATAAAGAGAACCCAATTTAAGGTAACTTCCCACCCTAACTATGTCATCATGATCTCTGTGTCTCCACAGCACTTATTATCTCTCTTCTGATACAATTTTCATTACCACAAGATCTTTGAAAGCAGGATGTTACCTGTCTTGATCAATGTCCTTCCCACCTGTTCACACTCCCCTGGTACATAGTCTGGCACAATTATTTCAGGGGAAAATAATTAAAGAGTTAAGGCACCCACATGACTCTAGGACAGTGGTTCTCAACCTGTGGGTCGAGACCCCTTTGGGGGTAGAAAGACGCTTTCACAGGGGTCACCTAAGACCATCAGAAAACACGTATTTCCGATGGTCTTAGGAACCCTGACACCGTTCCCTCTAGGTGGGTCCGCCCACAAGCAGATAGGCCCACATAATAGTACCGGTGTGAAGATTGTTACCCATGCTACACCATGCTTCAAGACAAAATTTCATTTATTTGTAATTAGAAATAAATCTTTCACAATGTATAATTACATAGTTTTTGTGATTAATCACTATGCTTTAATTATGCTCAATTTGTAACAATGAAAATACATCCTGCATATCAGTTATTTACTTTACGATTCATAACAGTAGCGAAATTAGTTATGAAGTAGCCACAAAAATAATGTTATGGTTGGGGAGGGTCACCACAACATGAGGAACTGTATGAAAGGGTTGCGGCTTGAGGAAGGTGGGAACCACTGCTCTAGGGCAAAGTAAGAGCGGTAAGTGCCCTGGGCCTTGGGAACAACGGCATATTGGAAGGCTGCTGCAGGGGAAGTGTAGCAGGCTGACAAATGTCATGCGAGTGGTCTGGGGGTTCGTGGGATTTTCTGGAATCCCACAGATGTCAGATGCCCCCTCTGCAAATATGAAACCTTCTGCGGCTCTGCCTTAATGGTGCACTGCCCACCGTCTCCTCGAGAAGTGAAGGAGCGCGCGCTGGGGAAAGATGGGAGGCCCGAGCCCGGCTGTCAATTCACCTGAGCACGCCGGCAGCCGTCTCCCTCACTTGCACGCTGGGATCCAGTAGCAGAGGCCCGAGCTGGCGCAAGGCGTCTCCGCGCAGCAGCACCGGGAAGACCTGCGGCTGCTGTGCTAAGCGGGCCAACCCCACGCAGGCGAACTCGCGGACGTCGGCGCTCGGGTGCTGGAGCTGCGCATGCGCGAGACGTGGAGAGCGTCACATGCGCAAGCGCACGGAGGGGGACCCAAAGGGAGAGAAAAAGCCAAAGTCAAAGGGCTCCACGCCGACGCCCGACCCTCCCCGGCTCCTCCTCGGAGGGCTGGCCGAGCCCCTCGCCTCACCTTCTCCAGCAGCTCCGTTACCAGCCCATTGTCCTCCTCCTCCTCCTCGGTCCCATTCGCTGCCGTTCCCTCTACCTCACAGTCGCCCGTAGGGGAGAAGTGAGGTCGCTTGAAGCGTCTCATCCGGCTCTTGCCCATGGCGTGTGCGCGGCGGGAACAGAAGCAAACAGCCGGCGACAGAAGTTGCCGGGCCTGCAGCCGGGATCACTCTCAAACGGGCTGAAGTGGTTCTCAGCTGGACCAAGAACACATGGGATAGCAGCGCGCATGCGCATGACTCGCCGCCGCCGGCGAGAAGGGGGCGGTGGCGCTGGGGCGGAGAGCGCGCGTGCGCAGCAAAGCTGGTGGGCGGAGCCCTGCAGTTCTCGGAAGTAAAGTTTAGGGAAGGTTGTTCAATTACGGAATCGCAGCAAACCTGTATTTTCATAGTAATAAAATGGAATTCATAACACCTCATTTGCAAGGCTATTGTGAAGCTTAAGGATCCATGGTTGCTCTCTGGGTTAAGCGCAGGAGTGATAACCGCAATGGAAATGATTCAAACCCCCCATCTGCTCTCAGAGTTAGGCTCAGATGTTGCCGGTTCTGAAAACCCCAGGAAATTGAAAGACGAGAAACCTTCCCGGTCTAACGGTCTCAGGAAGGTGAAAGCTTAAAGAAGGTAACGAGGTAGTCTCAACACTGAAAAGTGTCCAAGTTCATGTCTATCCACCCTCTTGCCTGCTGTTACCCACAAGAGTTGTCATGTCTTAGGAAGAGGATAAACCTCCAGCATATGCGATCACTGCCTTCACATTCGTAGTGAACATGACCTGGAGGCTGTCTTTCCCTCCAATCCTCCCAAACCTGGAGGAGGCTCCTGCTGCTGGAATTGCAAATACAACCCAGGGTCCTCAAAGTGAGATTGCATCTTTGACCAACGTCTCAGCAACCTCATCAGGGCAATCAGAGGACAGCTGCAGCAGGGAAGAAGATAGTTCAAGCGCCTCAGAGTCGTCTCCAGATGGGAATGAGCCCAGAGATCCTCTAGATGACACGGTGGTATTGTTGGTGAATTTCCTGCTGCTCAAGTATCGAGTGAAAGCCCACTACGAAGTCATTTATGCTGAATGCTGTCACCGGAGAGTACAGAAACCGTTTCTCTGAGAGCCTCTGAACGCATGGAGATGATTTTTGGACTTGACCTGAAGGAAGTGGATCCCATGAACCACAGATATGAGATTTTCATCAAGTTGGGCCACACCTAAACGATGGAATGCAGAGCAGTGAAGAGGGCACGTGATAGGAGTCCTGATTCTTATCTTGGGTGTGATCTTCATGAAGGACAACCTTGCCACTGAAGAGGATGTCTGGGAAGTTCTGAATGTGAAGGGGCTATATTCTGGGAAGAAGCACTTTATCTTTGGCGATCCCAGGAAGCTCATCACCAGAGAGCTGGTGCAGGAAAACTATCTAGAGTACTGGAAGGTGCCCAGCAGTCACCCCCCACGATTCAAATTCCTGTGGGGTCCAAGAGCACATGCTGAAACCACCAAGATGAAAGTCATGGAGTTTTGGGCCAAGGTCCATGGGACTGACCCAAGTTCTTTCCCATCCCAATATGAAGGAGCTTAAAAACTTGAAGAATCATGGAAGAAGCACACCAGCCTGTGTGACCACGAGGTGTAGAAGGGACCAGGTATCAGGCATCATCAGAACAAAAAATCATATTATTGTAAATGAGGATGAGTGTAGAGTGGAGATCCAAAGCCCATCTGTAGGCAACTGGGCACCCCTTTACTGAAGGATTGCGGGGAGGAGGCGAGCCAGTCAGGGTGCAGGGTAGCAATGATGAAACATAATTTTCCTCTAGTTCTTAAATGCTTCCTCCCCCCACTATCATGATCCCAATTTTACCTTACAAATCTGGCTAGACCAGAAGATGTACATTGGTACAGATAGCAACTGGAAACACAGGGAATCCAGGACAGATGATCCCTTCAGGACCAGTGGTGAGGGTGGTGATACCGGAGGGTGGAGAGAAGTTGGTGTTAAAAGGGGGAGCTGATTACAAGAATCTACATATAACCACCTCCATGGGGGATGGACAACAGAAAAGTGGGTGAAGGGAGATATCGGACAGTGTAAGAAATGACAAAATAATAATAATTTATGAATTATGAATGATTCATGAGGGAGGGGAGAGTGAGGAAGGAGGTAGAAAATGAGGAGCTGATATTAAGGGTGGTATTGTTGGTGAATTTCCTGCTGCTCCTATCACATGCCCTCTTCACTGCTCTGCATTCCATCGAAGGTGTGGCCCAACTTGATGAAAATCTCTTATCCGTGGTTGATGGGATCCACTTCCTTCAGGTCAAGTCCAAAAATCATCTCCATGTGTTCAGAGGCTCTCAGAGAAACGGTTTCTGTACTCTCCGATGACAGCATTCAGCATAAATGACTTCGTAGTGGGCTTTCATTTGATACTTGAGCAGCAGGAGCTGATATTAAGGGCTCAAGTAAAAAGCAAATGTTTTGAGAATGATGATGACAACAAATGTACAAATGTGCTTGGCACAATGGATGGATGAATGGATTGTGGTAAGAATTGTACGTGCCCCCAGTAAAATGATTTTTTTTAAAAACCTACGAAGAAGAAAGAGCCAAGGGTGCAGCCATTCTGGGAGCAACCCCCAAGGCCAAGGAGGGTTCCAGTGCCACTCTAGTCACTGCTCCCACCCCTAATAATGTTATACATTGTCGCATAGTATTTGAAGAGAGCAGTTAAATAAGGAGAGAATACATTATCTTTGTGACCGAATACTAAATAGGTAATGCTTTTTCAAGAATGTATGAGTAATAAAGTTTGCTAAATTAAAAACAAAAAAGAACTACAGAGCAGTTCTACTCAGTCCTATGAGGCTGCTATAAATCTCACTGGACACCATGCTAATGGGATTGTAAAGCTTAAGTAAAGTTATATAAAGGGCTTGTTTCTTGCTCTTTGATCATCAGACCAGTGTGCGGCTGCCTAGCTTCTTCTATGCCTCCATTTGCAAGCTACACTACCTGTGGGACACCTAACCTGTGGACTGTGTCGCTGTCATTTGAGGTTCCTTCAAGACCTGCTTCGCCACACCATTGGAATTCACATCTCTTGAGCTAGGGACTGCCAGACCCTGTCACCTGGCTGACTGTTGGTGACCTGCCTTGCTGTTTGCTGCCTGTGCCCAGATAGTCTGAATTGTTCTACAGCGGTCCTCAAGAATTGAAGGACTGCCAGTGTCTCACAAGTGTCTTACGGGAGTGAGTTGCACTGAGTCATTTGTACTGCTTTATAGATTAATTAACTGTTTATTTCTTATGATATATATATATATATATATATATATATATTAGCATTCTGATTTTGTTTCTCTAGAGAACCCTATCTAACACAGGATTTAAACCAACCTTGATGTAAATAAAAATCAAATGATGACATAGGGTCAATTCGCACTCAGAGGGACCCTGTGGTAAAACTGCCCCTGCAGGTTTCTGAGATTTTAACTCTTTATAGTAATAGAATGCCTTGTCTTTCTAGGAAGCGCTTTGGATTTGGGGATCTCTTTCAATGGATCTTTTCCAGTCAGTTGGCCAAGTAGCTACTTTCTTCCAATTTTCCTCGGGCTTTTGAACTGCTGACCTTGGGGTTAACAGCCCATTATGTAACTACTGCATCACCAGGGCTCCTCTTGTTACATGGTTTTTGTTAGGTGCCATGAATCTGTTCCGACTCATGAACAACATGACCATGCACAAAAGAACTAAACACTGCGTGACCCTGTGCCATCCTCACAATTGTTCCTGTGCCTGAGCCCGTGGTTGCAGCCCTGTGACAGTCCATTTTGTTGATGGCTCTTTGCTGCCCCCACACACTACCAAGCACGATACCCTTCTCCAGGGACTGGTCACTCCTGACAACATGTAGGTAAGATGAAGTCTCTCTGTCCCTGCCTCCAAGTAGAATTCTGACTGTACTCCTAAGGTAGACCTGTTTGTACTCTTGGCAGTCCATGGTACTTTCAATATTCTTCTTCAGCATCGCAATTCAAATGCATTGATTCTTCTATGGTCTTCCTTAGTCAATGTACAACTTTCACATGCATATGAAGCAACTGAAAATAACAAGTTTTGGGTCAGGCACACCTTAGTCCTCAAAGTAATATCCTCAGTTTCAATACTTTATAGAGATCTTGTGCAGCACATTTACCCAGTTCATTGCATCCTTTGATGTCTTGATTGCTGCTTCCCTGAAATTTGATTGTGGATCCAAGCAAGACAAAACGTGACAACTTCAATCATCTCTCCGTTTATCATGATGTTATCTCTTGGTCCAGTTGTGAGGATTTTGGTTTTCTTTTCATTGCGATGTAATCCGTACTGAATGCTGCAATCTTTGATGTTCATCAGCAAGTGCTTCCAGTCTTCTTAATTTTCAGCAAGCAAAGTTATGCTATCTGCATATGATTTGTTGTAATAAGTCTTCCTCCAATCTTAATTCTTTTTCGTATAATCCAGTTCTGATTATTTGCTCAGCATACAGAATGACTCCATTCCTTGGTTTTAAACCATGTAGAGCAGTGGTTTTCAACCTTCCTAATGCTGGGACCCTTTAATACAGCTCATGTTATGGTGACCCCATCCCCCAACCATAAAATTATTTTCGTTGCTACATCATAACTGTAATTTAGCTACTGTTATGAATCTGGTAGCCCCTGTGAAAGGGTTGTTTGACACCCAAAGGGGTTGCGACCAACAGGTTGAGAACTGCTGATGTAGCATGTTCTCTTGTTCTAGTTGCACCACTGCCTCTTGATCCATGCACAAGTTCCACATGAGCATAATTCAGTGTTCTGGAATTCTCACTCTTCTCAAGGTTATGCGTAGTTTGTTATGATCCACACAAGTCGAATGTGTTGGCGTAGTCAATAAAACACAAACATCTTTCTGGTATTCTGCTTTCAGCCAAGATCCATCCGTCATCAGCAATGACATCCCGAGTTCCACATCTTCTTCTGAACCAGGCCTGGACTGCTGGCACCTCCATATGTATTGCTGTAACCATTGTTGGATGATTTCCAGCAAAAATTTACTTGCATGTGACATCAATGACATTGTTCTGTAATGTAGGCATTCTGTTGGGTCCCCTTTCTTTGGAATGAATACAAATATGTATCTCTTCTAGTCA